TGTTGATATCTAATCGGTTAAGAGTGTGCAAATACCAAATCTCTATATTAAAATTTACCAATATTTGTATAAGAGGTAACAATATGGGATACATTCCCCATATTACATTACAGGAGGTATATATAAAATTTCGACCATACAAAGTATATACGTAATCCGACAAAAAACACCGTATAGGTCTGATAAATAAAAGAGCCATCCATTTATTAAAAAAACCAGTGAGCGGAGCAGTATAGTCGGACGGGGCCGACCATATGATACCCTACACAACTATCACCGAACTCTAACTTTATGCGGTTCTATATTCTGTAACTGGGCAAAATTTCATGATATTTGCAACCTCTTTATCGATAATAGTTCAACAGCTCCACTTTCTAACCCTGGCATATTTTCCACTTTTGTTTTGCTTGAAGTGAATTTTTACGCCATAAAATGAAAAACTGGTCACTTTAGGTTTTGGTTGATTTGGACCTCGGAATATTGACCGATCATCATCTAAACAGCCGCTCTAAGGTCACATCCCCTTCACCTTGTAACATATGCGATGTTCTGCATATAATAATTGCCTCTAGAGCGACTAGAAAATCTGACAAAATTAAAGTTTTCCGTTCATTGCACCCCCTGAATGAAATTTCAACTCCACCGACAATTATAGGCGTAGTCCATGACCATAATCGGAACTTCCTTTACAGCTTCAAAGCGATCAGCGCGACATTTCCGTCCTCTAAGGGAGTAATAGTAATGCCATGCACATGGTCACATTTACCTTATTATGTATAACTCCCATATCTGAGCACATCCGACAATATAATTGGTATCAATTTAAAGGTCAACCACTCCTCTAGGATATACTATCAACTTCTGTTTTTATCAAAACAGGCGTGTTTATTCTTTGATCCGATCCCCTTCTCCATGCAAAAATTCGCGATGTTTGGGCCATAAATACAGCCTCTTGAGCGACCAGAAAAATCGACAAAAATTAAGTATTTGGTCCACTTCATCCCCTAAATACTAAAAGATCTTTACCAAAAACAATAGGGGCCTTCATTGGCCAGATCCAATGCTACATGCAAAATTTCGTAAAGATTGGTCTATAACTGTGGCCTGTATCGTGTTTACAAATTATAATGGACAGACGGACGGACACACATGTCTAGATCGACTCAGCTAGTCGAGATACGACGATAGGTATACTTAAAGGTAGGTCTAGGACCACTATTTCGCGCCTTACAAATTCCTGGGGCTACACAAAGCTATAATACCCTGACAACATAGTTGTGTAGGGTATAATAACTATGCTTTCCCTTCAAAGTAATCCCTTCAGATAAATTGTACCGATCAAAAAAATTTAGCATACATTTGTCTGAAAGGAGGTCAAGCTCGGCGATCGTTTATATCGGTCCACGATTAAACATAGCTGTCATATAACGACACATTCAGTCCTATCTAAAATCTTATGAGCAACAAATAAAGATTTGAAACTTTTTCTCCATTACCTTTAGTGTCAAAAACTTGGCCTTTTGTTGACTGGGTTACAACAATTTTTCTCGACATTCTGTTTGTCCAAAGAACATTGTAAGACACATAAGCAAAAATTGCATCTCAAATCCGAAAAAGGAAAAAATAGATTTCATATTTAATATAATATAAAAATCTCTTCAAATAAGTGACAATGACACGTTTCCATAATAAATACAAAACATAGATGCTGTGGATGAGCTTAAATTTATTTTTATATATAGAATAATCTATCAGAAACAAAACAATAGAAATGTAGTTACTTGTCACATATGTGTCAGATTGAAAAATAAATTGAATGAAAACTAAATCATATTTCAAAGACTTTGTATATAGCAAAATACGAAAAAAAATTAAATTTTAAGATTAAACTCTTCAATAAAATGTGGTAGGTATATCCAGAAGTTATGGTTGCATATTGATATGTTGTTTGTCAGGGATCTTCATTTTATTGCTAAAAGGAAGAGCTAAAATAAACTGAATTCGGTGGAAAATTGAAAGCAGAACTATTGAAATATGTTCGACTTCGATTACCGTCATCGTTTGTCTACCTGAAGTGGCTGTATTTAGGAATTTCGCATTTTCAGAATATAAAATACCGCCCCAAAGAAAATGTTCAGTATAGGTCCATGTTTTTGGATAAAAGACCATAGCAACATTTTGCGGTAGAGATCGCTGCCCGTTTGCATATAATATTACGATATCAGAGGACAATATACCTCCTCTGAGAATATTGTAATGCAATTGCAACTTCCGAATCATATATTATGATGAGTGTATAGTAAATCGGCCTTTCATGATGCATCATCTCGAAATATTCATCGGAGGTAATTATTAAACATAATATTTGTCTATGTCGATATAACCAAATCCGACCGCCTTTCGCCATAAAGTAGTATTTACGATACTACACCAAACATTTTAGCTATTGAAAATTGGATATATCGATCCTGGCTTTAATATGGCCCCATATAACGGCTCCGCATATGAGATTAATTATTTTAACGGTTTTAGCGGCATTTTCCAATATATGTATATTATAAAGGTCCCAACTCATTTTAGGTACTTTGATTGTTCCATGCCAATTCTCCAATCGAAATAAATGTAATTTGACATTCCGGATTTGTTGTAGGTAAAGGTCTTTCAAATAGTCCATGTTTTTACATTGGCACCAAATATAGGATCACTTTTATGCACTTTCGTTACCCTAGGCTCCTTTTTCAACCGAAGGGGGCTGTAATGTGGCATTACGGGTATATGGTGGTGTATCCTTCGATTTGCACGAAATTTGGCACAGAACGCTGAATTATGTCCAGAATGATGTGTACCAAGTTTCGAGAAAATCGGTTCAGATTTAGATATAGCTCCCATATATAGTTTCGTCCGATTTAAGGTAAATGGTGCACCAAATTCCCTATATATCTTTGCACGAAATTCGACACAGAGTACTGAATTAGGTCCAGAAGGATGTGTGCTATATTTCGAGAAAATCGGTTCAGATTTAGATAAAGCTCCCATATATAGTTTCATCCGATTTAAAGTAAATGGTGCACCAAAGTCCCTATATATCTTTCGATTTACACGAAATTTGGCACAGCGTACTCAATTAAGTCTTGAATGATGTGTATTAAGTTTCGTAAAAATCTGTTGCGATTTAGATATAGCTCCCAAATATAGTTTCGTCCGATTTAAAGTAAATGGTGCACCAAATTCCCTATATATATTTGAATGAAATTTGGCACAGAGTACTGAATTAGGTCCAGAAGGATGTGTGCTATATTTCGAGAATATCGGGTCAGATTTAGATATGACTCCCATATATAGTTTCGTCCGATTTGAGGTAGATGGTACACCAAAGTCCCTATAAATCTTTCGATTTGCACGAAATTTGGCACAGCGTACTCAATTAAGTCTTGAATGATGTGTGCAAAGTTTCGAGAAAATCGGTTCAGATTTAGATATAGCTCCCATATATAGTTTCATCCGATTTAAAGTAAATGGTGCACAAAAGTCCCTATATATCTTTCGATTTACACGAAATTTGGCACAGAGTACTGAATTAGGTTTAAAGTGATGTGTTCCAAGTTTCGAGAACATCGGGTCAGATTTATATATAGCTCCCATATATATTTTCGTCCGATGTAGGGTAAATGGGGCTCCAAAGTGCCTATATATCTTTTATAGTTTATATAGTTTCAATATATATTTCAGACCGAATTAATTTAAATTGTGCACTAAAGACCTAAAGATTGGCCGATCGGCACACAATTTTGTACAATTTACTGTTACCATAGCCATTCCTGTGTCAAGTTTTCTTGAAAGATTTACATATACCTTCTATATATATTTTCGTCCGATTTTAAGTAAATGGTACACTAAAGTCCCATACCTAGGCCGATTGACAAAACGTATAGAAATTAATAAAAATGAATATCTAGCAAGATTCCATGAAATCGGTTCAGATTAGCTTCCATATATAATTTCGACTTATTCATGTTGACTATACACCAAATAATCTATGGGTGCCCGATTGATACATTGTACACAGTGAAGCATTCCAAATAGCGTGTGTAAAGTTTGCTTTAAATCTATTTACAAAATTTAGAATACGTTGCAGAATGACATGTGTTGCAATTGATGTTAGTCGGTTTACTTATAGATAAAGATCGCATATTAAGGTTCATTCAATTTCTTGTCAATATTCCTTAGAAAAGGCGACGTTTGTTAGGATACATATGTAGAATATCCCCAAAGTGGTGAAGGGTATCATATAGTCGGCCCAAGCCGACTATACTACTTTAATTACAGGTTATATATAACAAAATAATTCCAATGGACCGACGAATTTATAGATAAAGTAGTCCCATCAAACCGAACACTTTTTTTTGGAAAAGAGACCTAAAAATATTTTTTTTATATAGGAAATATTTTTTTTATATAGGAAAAATAGTCCTACAACCCTATCTAATTTTAACCAATTATAACTGTGGGTTATCCAATTTTAAAGATTTTCCAGCGAGCGTGGGCCATGATTGAACAAGTTAAACAAATTGGTCACAATTCATTGATACACGCTTGTAGAACATAGTTAATATAAGGATACTTGCGTCTCTTATATTACCTATTAAGTCAAAAACTCCAATTAGTTTTTTTTTTCTTTACAATGTTCCGCTGTTTCCAATTTTCACCAAAGAAAACTTCTTAAATATCACACAAACGTAGAACTATAAAAGGTACCATACATCACCATAACCTATTCATTGATATACGCTTCTTCTAAGAAGCATATGATGCACACACACATACAAACGTACTAATATTTTCCTTTTTCAAAAGAAACTTTTAAATCCGCTTAGATGCATTGACTTAAGGCTAACAAAAAGTTCATTTTACGTTCTTTCGCTGCACTTTTCTATGACTTCAACTCATCATCGTCATTGACAAGGTTTAGTGATGTTGAACGAACATGGAACGAAACTTACCTGACTTTTGCCTTTTGATACACAGCTTACAACATCATCTCGTGTGGGCTCTAAATTAATAAGATCGCGCTGAAAAGAACAGAAAAAGAAAATAAAAGAATATTAAGTATCAGTTATCAGATTATAGATTATATAGAACAACTGTAATAGGTTTATGGGCAAAAGAAAATTAAAATGGAGGTTAGTAGTTCAGCGGGTAGTTGGCGGTAAACTTTTCATTAAATTGCTTGTTGAAGAACATAAAAAGGAAGATGTGATTTAGGAATGTAATCTTGCCAAGGGAAAACATATGAATGGAGAGATATATTAGTAGAATGAATATAGAGTAATAAGGATAATATATTAATATGTTGAAATCGTTGAAATAAATATATCTTTAAATATTATATTAACTTCTTTTAATCTAAGAGATTTAAAAAATAAATATTTACTATTACCATCTCTCTTTTCTATTCACACTTTATTTCTATAAAATGCCATAACCATAAATTTAATTATCGACTGTGTAGATACTTCTTCCTTTCCATGATTTTAATTTAATAATCACCTTAACACCATTACCATATTTGTAATTCTGTGATGAAAAAAAAAAAAAAAACATGAAATCCTGTCAAAGTTATAATTGAATTTACTATCAACTCAGATGTTCAATTTCTTGCATCTCTCGGTTTTCTATTCATACTATATATGTTTAAACAAATTATAGCTCTATTACTTGGAAAACTTTTCAATCATAAGTCTTAACACCTTTTTGCTTCACGCTACCTAAGTACACCCACACACACACATCTAGCACCAAAAAAGGGAAAAACGAAAAAAAACAACTGTCAATGAATTGACATTCATTTAGTTGTGATAGAACAAAATCGACATAATCATAGATATACACACAGTAGGGGGAATTTTAAAATCAGAAAGGAAATTAAAATCAGAAATGTTTTAAAATTTAAGAAAAGCACATGTTTTACTATTTTCAAGGGCTGTATGATGAAATTGTTTTTCTATAAATGTAAACAATTTCGGTTAGTTAAGAAAATGTTTTCATCCATTTTTGAGTTTTCAATTGATACACTATTAAATACGGTGCTTACGTATTTGTGTAATACGGACTTCAACAAACCCTCGAAAGGTGAGAAGGTGGATATTTTAGGTACGAGCCCTAAATGAAAATCAGATTATACAGTAAACCTTTACCAAATCTTTTTTTCGGAAAAAATTGTCCTGAGGGTCAATCGCATCTTTTTCTATAGAAAAAGTAGTCCTGAGGTCCTATAGATTTTTTATAAAAAATATCCTGAGGGCTTATCAATTTTTTTCTATAGAAAAAATTAGTCCTAAACGCCCCTCGTTTTTTTTTATAAAAAAAAAAACAGTAAGGAAAGTAGTAAAGTCGGACGGAGCCGACTATATAATACCCTTCACCACTTTGGATATATTCAACAGATGAATTCTAACAGACGTCGCATTTTAAAAGGACCAGTAAAATGAAATTGGATCCATAAACATGTTATTCTGCAATTCATTACGCTATGGCAAATTTCGTGCAAACCGAAAGATATTAAGGGACTATGGTACAAATTTACCTTAAATCGGACGAAAATATATATGGGAGCTATATCTAAATCTGAACCGATTTTCACAAAACTCAACGCACAACATTTTAGGCCTGATTCATTACGCTGTGCCAAATTTCGTGCAAATCGAAAGATATATAGGGAATCTGGTCCACCATATACATTAAATCGGACGAAAATATATATGGGAGCTAAATCTAAATCTGAACCGCTTTTCAAGAAATTGTACACACATCATTCTATACCTAATTCATTACGCTGCGCCAAATTTCGTGCAAATCGAAAGATATATAGGGACTTTGGTGCACCATTCACATTAAATCGGGCGAAAATATATTTGGGAGCTATAGCTCAATCTGAATCGATTTTCAGGAAACTTAACACACATCATTCTAGACCCAATTCATTACGCTGTGTCAAATTTCGTGCAAATCGAAAGTTGTATAGGGACTTTGGTGAACCATTTACATTAAATCGGGCGAAATTATATAAGGGAGCAATATCTAAATCGAAACCGATTTTCACGAAACTTAGTATACATCATTCTAGACGTTATTCAGTACGCTACACCAAATTTCATACAAATCGGAAGATATATAGGGACTTTGGTGCACCGTTTACCTTAAATCGAACTAAAATATATATTGGAGCTATAACTAAATCTGCACCGATTTTCAAGAAATTGTACACACATCATTCAATACCTAATTCATTACGCTGTGCCAAATTTCGTGCAAATCGAGAGATATGTAGGGACTTTGGGGCACCATTTACATTAAATCGGACAAAAATATATATGGGATCTATATATAAATCTGAACCGATTTTAACGAAATTTAACACACATCGTTCTAGACGTTATTCAGTACGCTATGCAAAATTTCGTACAAATCGGACGATATATAGGGACTTTGGTGCACCATTTACTTTAAATCGGACGAAAATATAGATGGGAGCTATATCTATATCTGAACTGATTTTTCCTAATAGGGTTCTTCCTTGGGCCAAATAAATGACGTATGCCATCCAATTCCGATCATAAATGCCACCTGTACTTTGTTTACAATTTAACATGGACAGACAGATAGACAGACGGACATGTATAAATCGACTTAGAAGGTGATTCTATTCATATTCTCGAAAGGGGCTATGAGTCTATCTCGTTTTCTGTTGCCTGTTACAAACATATGCACAATTACACACAGTGTGGTGAAGGGTATAAATAGTTCTGAGGTCCTATAAATTTCAATAAACAAAAAAGTCCTATGGGCCTTCGACTATCCCGAGGGCTTGTCAATGATTTTCCTATAAAAAATAATAGACCTGTAGGACTATGGAATATTTTTCTACAGAAAAATAGCCGTGAAGGGCTATTGAATCTTTTCCCTGATTGATCGTTCCGAACATTAAATGAAAACAATAATATACAGTAAACCCCAATGTAAACTCTGCTACCTAACATTGGCGGACAGCATTTTCCTTTTCCATGTATAGTCCTTCCAACCACTAGTTTTCATAAATAAAGTATTTTAAATAAGGACACACAATTAAATAGTTCCTTTACAAAACTACCTTTTCTATCCGTGTAAAACTACATTTCTCCCCTTTACTGTGACAGTAATTAAAATCTCATCGCAAAACCCCCCGTCTTCCACAACAGCATTAGTCTGAGTACCGACACAAAGTGGCTATTAGCACCTTTAGAATTCCTTTTCTGGTTATGCTTTAGAGACACTTGTTCTCTCCCTCTCCCAACCTTTATGCAAAGTAACCATTTGTGTATACGAATGATGTGAAGCGAAAAGGACATCCTTACCACAAGCTTATATTCCCCGTTATTTACCATTCATTCAACACTGGTAAACTAACATTTTTGTTGTTATTTAAACTTCTGCAACAAACAAATACATGAAATCCTTTCTTTTTCATAGATGCCCTGTTCAACCCTTTTCTTTGTGTATGTAGATGAACGCGTGCCAGACTGACTGCTGCATTCGAAAACACATTTAATTTATTTTCATAGAAAACATTTTGCCAATCACAGAACATTTAAGCGGATTTCCTGAGCAAAATTTCACAATAGACTCAACTCAAGTGTGGAACAAATTTTCTTTGATTGTCTTTTGCCCCAAAGGATAATTTAACTGTTTCCACTGGAATTTTTACAAAATGTTCATTTATTGAAAAGACATCAAAGGAGCATTTTAACACTTCATTTCCCCATTTTGCACAAACCTTGGAATACATCATTAACTACAAGGATGATGATGGTGATGTCTTGAACATCGTCTTTCTTTATTCTTGATATCGTTTTGCTTTCAAATTTAAGTTCCTTCCTTCCTTTGTGGATTCTTTTAAGAATCCACCCAACCCTTTTCATCACCATCATCAAAACATGATTTTCATTTGAAGGACGACAAAGTTTAATATTTATTATTAACATTTTTGCCATTGCCGAAAGTCTATTTCAAGAGTAAAATGTCAAATCCATTTGAATTTTGAAGCCTTTGTTTTAAATTCTACCCTTTTTGTAGTCGGGCATTGTATTGTAAGGCCTATGAAATACTGTCACCCATAACTGTTGTATTTGTGTTGACATTTTTGGAGAGCGGGGTTAACCTCTATTACCGATACTTGTATATTTCCCTTTGCTGTCATTTTCATCGGTAGATTCACTGTGGCGGATTCCTTTAAAATTAACCTTTATGAATTGTTAAATAGGGTGTGGGAGTTCCATCAATAACTGCAGATTTGTTTCTATGGACAAAAAAGCACGGAAAAGGACTACCGATTGTTTTTGACGGATAATAAAATAGTCGTGGGTGCTTGTCTAAAATTTTCCGATAAAAAATAATTGTCCTGAGGGCCTATCGAATTTCTTTCTATAGATAAAAATAGTCCAGAGGGCCTATCGAATTTGTCATTATAGAGAAAAATAGTCCTGAGAATTTTTCCTACTTTCCCATAAAAAATAGTCCTGAGCTGATGGCCTATCTAATTTTTTCTATAGAAATAGTCCTGAGGACCTATCGAAATTTTTTCTATGGTAAAAAATAGTCCTGCGGACTCATCGAATTATTTCTATAGAAAAAAATAGTCCTGCGGACTTACCGAATTTTTTCTATAGAAAAAAATAGTCCTGATGACTTATAGATTTTTTCTATATAGTGCTGAGGGCCTATCGAAATTTTTTCTATAGAATAAAATAGTCCTGATATCTTCGATATTTTATCGATTTTTTTATAGAAATAGTTCTGAGGGCCTATCGAATTTTTTCCTATAAAAAATAGTCTTGCTGGCCTATCAAATTTTCTTTCTGTGGAAAAAAATAGTCCTGGGGACATATCGTATTTTTTTCTATGGGAAAAATAGTCCTATGGAATTTTTTTCTGTGGTAAAAAATAGTCCTGAGGACCTATCGAATTTTTTTCTATGGAAAAAAAGTCCTGAGGACTTATCGAATTTTTTCTATGGAAAAAAATAGAAAATTTTGAG